AGCTGACATGGCTCAGGATTAGGTGGTATTAGGCAAGTCAGACCTTAATTCCAAAGTAGTCACCACTTGTCTCCTGTTCATGATTTTTCAAAGATCATCAAGAGCAGGTAAGTAATCAGTTCCACTACTTCCAGGACCTTGTGACACAACTCATCCAGGTCTTATGACTAGAACTCATTAAGGACCATTAAATATTGCTGTACTATTATTTCACATATTGGCTTTTCCTGTTAATAATTTTGCTCTTATAAATGAGAAGACTATTCTTCTTCGTAGAAAAGAGAAACAAAGAAAGAATTTCATAGTTTTGCCTTTTCTATCATTTGTATCACGTCTGATCCACTTCAATAAATAGTCTCATCACTTTTTAAAAAATGTTTTATTCTGAACTTAAACACTAAAAAAAAAGCATTTCCCAATTAGCAGAATAGAAAGAGGATTGTATACAAAACATATTAAATTCCACACATTTCTTTCAAAAATTTTCTGTTTAATCTCCAAAGGCCTCATGATGGAAAATGCTATCCACATCCAAAGAAAGAACTATGGAGTTTGAATGCAGTTCGAAGCATACTATTTGCTATTTTTTTCTTCTGTTGTGTTTTGTTTCCTCTTTCTGGTGGTTCCTCCTATTGGTTCTAATTTTTACATACAACATGACTAACATGAAAGTATGTTTAATAGGAATGTATATGTATAGTCTATATTAGATTGTGCCCTGTCTTGGGGAGGGAGGTGGGGAGGGAAAGGGAGAAAGAATTAAAACTCAAAAGCTTGGAAGTGATTGATGATAAATCAAAATAAATTTTAAAAAAATTCTGTTTATCCACACTTCCTTCTGATCTTATTTGTATTTGCTTCTGTGTATTTAGAAAGTGCTTCAGTGGTCCTTTTTTCCCCCTAAGCCCAGGGCATCACTACTGCTAACCTGCTCTCTCCTCAACAAACCTTTCCCAAGTAGAAATCAAAATTTAAGAAAAAATCCTTGTAACAAATAATCATAATCAGGGCAATGTTAGCAGGAAATTGCTAACCACTACTATTCATCACTTCTTTCTCTGACTAGTACTGGGATGATCTTTCCCCCAGTGGCATCTGAGGAGTTTCCGAGGAATAAGTCAGAGCATCAAAGTTGCTGCCTTCTAAGATCATCCAGCTTTACCCTCTATGTTAAGAGCCTCATGGCTACTACCTAATGATGTTACCACCAGTGTATTATTTCTGAATTTGGATTTTCTTTTCCCTTATGAGTAAACTGTAGAAAATACAATTGACGTGGTTACTGAGGGTTAAAAAGAAGGTAAATTGATACTAAAACTAGAGGCACAAAAGATGGAACCAAAAGTAAGGTTGCCTAGGCAGGGTTTTAGTATTGGAACTGGTATGCTAGCAAGCTGATCAAGTTCAACAAAAACAAGCTCAGCCCAAAGGAGAGATATAAAAAAACAACTTTCTTCCCACCCTCCACCCCTCCCCTATTGCAGAAGTCAGGTGTGGAACATTGTATGTCAGGTTTTTTTCCACACCTAACCTTTTCTTTTTTAATTTCATAACATTCAGTTTCAATTGTTTGGGGATTATTATTCTGTTTTCATTGTTGTAATCATTTTGTTCATTGTCTTCCTGGTTCTGCTTACTTTACTTGTTATCAGTTCATGTAAGTCCTTATTCTCTGCATTTATCATGTTGTTTCTTAGAGCAAAGGAATGTTCCACTACATTCATGTACAGTTGTTTAGCCATTTACCAATCAATGAATAACTACTTTGTTTCCAGTTCTTTGCTACCACAAAAACAGACCTTTGATCTTTGTTATAATGGATGGTTCTCAGGCTGATTTCAGAAAAATCTGGAAAGATTTACCTGAACTGATGCAAAGTGAAGTGATCAGAACTAGGAGAACAGTGAACACTGTAAAAGTAATACTGTACAATCATCAACTGTGAATGCTTAGCTATTTTCAGCAATACAATGATCCAAGACAATTCCAAAGGACTCATGATGAAAAATACTATCCACATCCAGAGAAAGAACTGACGGAGTCTGAATGCAGATCAAAACATACCGTTTTTCACATTCTTTATTTTTTTCATGTTTTTTTTTCTTTTAGTCTGCTTCTTTCTTTCACATCACTTATATGGAAATGTTTTACATGATTGTATATATATGTCTATATATAACCTATATCAAATTGCTTACCATGTTAGGGAAAGGGGAGGTGAGGAAGGCAGGGGAAAAATTTGGAACTCAAAAACAATTTTTAAATGAATGTTGAAAATTGTCTTTACATCTAATTGGGAAAATTAAATATTTAAAAAATAATAAATGGCTCTCTAGAAGGGAGAGGGAAAAGGATAAAAGGGGAAATCTAAGTGGTATAAAAACAAAGAATATCAATAAAAATCTATTTTCTTAAAATTTGATAAAAAATAAAATGACCTGTGATAAAGAGTTAGATCCTTCACAAATATATATATATCCAACATACACATAGGACCAGAAAATAGCATTTCTCCTGCCATATTTACAAAGGAACAGATATACCCACTCCCCACCAACACACCCACAGAGAGGCAAGCACATCCATTCCCCACTTATAGAGAGAGGCAAATGCACTAACTCTTTGCCCTCCCTTTCATATATTAATGTATAAGGGTCAGTGCAAACATTCTCTTACACATATACAGAGAGGCATACTTGTTTTATTTTTAAAATACCCAAAGGGGTAAATATCTGATCTCACATGCACATACATAGAAAAACCCTCATTCCTGACAAAACACACCCACATTCATCCATCTCTTTCCCATATACACCCATAGGGTGAAGCATCCATTGATACATTCACACACACAAATGAAGGAAATTACCCCTCATTAGGGAGGCTGACACCCATCTCTCCCTATCAACATCACCATCCCACCCCACCAATACACACATATCCATAAGGGCAAATTTATCTCTCAAACCCTAGAAGAGATGACACCCATATGAGCAGATAGATGCCATTTTCCATCTCTCCCCCTTCTCCTCTCAAAATGCCTAAGCCTCATTCACTCACTGACTCACATACACCCTCTGTCCTTACCTCTTTCTCAGTCACACACACACACACACACACACACACACACACACACACACACACAAGGGATAGACACCTCCCACATCCATCCCATTCTCTACAACCCCCAGTCTTTCATATACATATAACACATCACATACCTTGAGACATCAAACTACAATCCATGAGCACTGCTGTTATAATAAAATTAATTTAATATTAAATCATACAAGTGCATAGTCCAAGCTTAGGTATAAAAAAATGGAATGTTGAAGTCTATATCCTTGATTTGTCAAACATTCAAATCAATTAAGTCCTTTCCTTAAAGGAATCTAAAAGCCAATAGAAACTACACTTTGCAGCAACACATAAAAAACATACCTTGCAGCAATGTGTGCCCCAAAATACACATCTGCTCCACCTCAGTGGCAACTTTAGGAGCTGGCAGAAAAGAACTATTGCACCAAGATCTAGGGTGAGAGCAAGTGAGGGGGGGAAGGAGGAGCCTCCATTCCCTGAGCTTGCCACAATGCTGTAGCTTACAGGAAACCTGAGAGGCAGTGCTAGTCTCCCCTGCTTCCGCTCCCCACACATGTCATGTCCCTAGTTAAGGGCTTCCTTCCTAAGGGCTACATGAAAGGGAGGTGGGGTGAGGAAGGGGAAAGTAGAAGGAATTAGATTCCCCAATTTCAGAGAGTCTGCACAAACAGGGAAATCCCTAAAGGTCAGACCAACCCTCAAGGGCAGCCTGCACTGTTAGCAGTCTGTACCCTGAGTTAGCGAGAGATTTCAGCAAGAGGTACCTCAGTTCTGAAGGGCAGACACTGCTAGCCTGGGTAGATGGTAGGTCCTATTGTAAACAAACAGTGCTCCAGAGCTTGGCCTTCCTTCCTTCTCTCCCTCCCATCCGCCCTGCCCACTGAGGGCCAGGCACAGTGGAATGCATAAGGTAGCAAGTGACAGAAACAATTTCCAAGAAGCAGGCAACACAGTATTTCTGCACAAAATACACTGTGGTCCCTACAATGAAGACCAACCCTGGCTCCAAGCCAACAGGCTGATTTCTTCTTTCTTTCCTCTTCAGAGAGAGGGCAAATCTGTTTGCTCATCTGACATAATGGTAAGCCCATGTTCAGACAGCTGCAGCTGATGCCCTGAAACAGACAGAATCCTCCTGGGGACGGCTGAGTCCTGGCCTGCAGGACAGCATAGGCATGTGCAAAGCAAGGCCTTCACTGCAGAGGAGCACAAAGAAGGGGTTGCAGGCATTCATCCTCCCCACCCCATCCCACCCCACTCCCACCCTTTGCCCGACCCTAACTTAGAGGTATCTTGGCTGCAGAGGTACAGCCATAGGGGCAAGTGCAGCATTTCTATCCTTACTGCTATTGGGCATAGGGTACTTGGGCTGGATCTGTTCTAGCCTCTACTCCAGGCAGCCCTCCACAGCACTAGGCTTACCTGGCCTTGCACTCCCTACCTGACAAAGACAGCATTATTGCACAATTCCTACCTTCACATTACAATAGGAGCTTCTCCCAAAATAGCTAGTGCAAACTATAGTTTGTTGGTTTGAATTTGGTTTTATGCTGCTGCCCAACCCCAAACCCCAGGGTGTTGTGGAAGCAGTCTTAAGTTCACCAAGACATATGGGGTATAGTCACTTATTAGGCCAGGGGCAGTGGTATGCTAAAGGATAAATGCCCATCCCCTCCAGAAAGCTGAGAAAGGTCACCTTGGTCAGTCAGTTTAACTGCTGTGACCTTACCCTTCTACCTGGATGCCTGAATCTTTCCCGTACTCCTTGTTCTAGCCAATACTACTTGGCTACTTTAAAAACCACAACAACAAAAAAGACCACATCCAATGTACAACATTGACAAGCAAAATCATGGCCACGGATCAACAATCGGATTTTAAAACAGTCCAGGAATAATTAGTTTGTTTGTTTGTTTGTTTTTAAGCAGCTTCTCTAAGGGTTCTCTTGCTTCACCCAGAATCTTCTCAGATCAGCACCAAGGATGAACTCCAGAGTTGGGTTTACAGCAGAAATCCCTTGGGCCTCCCCAAACCCCTCACTCTGCATGGACAGAGAAGAGGCTACACTGCACCTGGAGGCTTCTCAGTCAACAATCTGGCCAGAACACTCTTACTAAGAGCACTTAAAATAGGGCAAGAAGAGTCTGGGTTACTCCTCAACCTGCTCCTTATCCTTTTTCTCTAAGATTAAAAAGCCAAATGGTTTTTATATTCAAATAATAATAGTTTCCTCCTTCCCTCCAGGGGGTAGGAGAGGAGAAAAATTTTTCTAAAGATTCATGTTATTGCTGGTTCTCTCTGAAGGCTTGGTCCTGGTCCGCTTTGGTCTATTGAGTTCATATAAGCTAGACATCAGAGGCAGTCCCCCAGATTCCATCAGTCCCCACTGGCTGCAGTCACAAAAGGCACATGAGGATGCACTAAGTGCGGCTCCCTTGGCTGGGAAAAGGGGACAGAAAAAAGGGAAGGATTTTTGGTCAATTTTGTTTTCTCATTGGCATTTTGTAAAATAAAGTACAAGATGCTGGACATTCCTGGTGTCGGAGAGGAAAAAGTCTCAAAGAGATTGCAAAGCCATCATGGGGACAGGGAGAAAGGGGTAGCCATTGACTATCCACCTCTGAGTGCACAAATAAGCCTTCTGGCCCAAGAGAAAAGGCCTATGAGGGCTATGTCTTAGTGGCAGACAGCTGGCCTCTGACAGACTTGCACTGAAGAAGCCAGGACACAGCATCCCTTCTTGGTGTAGAAATCAATGAGCCGGTGCCACATTGGACAGCAACTCAAGAGGTAGTGATTTCCTGCAAAGGAGGAAACAGGAATTACAAGCCTGAGCAATCCCTCACATGTGTACTAGACTTTATGAGTTACAAAACTTCCATATTCATAACTTCATTTGATCCTCATAATCCACTGTCCCCTCTCTATCCTATCCCTCAGGAAAGCAGGGATTTCCCTATCTCCCCATTTCACAGATGGAGGCCCAGAAGAGTGAAATGACCAAAGTAACACAGCAAGTTAACGTCTACCCTGGGACCCTGAAAACCGGTATCCTTGATCATCCAGTGTTGAAAACATCTACCATAAATGAAGATAGACTGAAGAATCAGGTCTGTAGCCCTCCATCATCTCCTGGGACCAATTCATCCAAATGAATCTGCTTTCACCCAACTGCCCTCCTACTCTCCTCCACCATACTCAAGCTAGCTAGTTCTCTTTCCAGATCATACCATGGGCCTGAATGTCCAAGATCCTGGCCATTGCTGTTCCACTACCCTTGGTAAAAGTCAGTGAGTGAAGCCCTCACCACCACCCCATTTTATTTCCTACCTCCCCCTCCCTCCACCCTATGTATCACAGTCCTCTGCATGGGCAGTTTGTCTGAGAAGCTCTGTCCCCACTCACCAATGATGCAGAGCCCCTCTTGGGCCCGAGTGATCCCCACATTGACCTGATGTGGGTCACTGACAAATCCCAGGTGTTTCTTCAGCCAACTTTTGGTGGGCCTCCCATCAATCTCACCAAGAGGGCAGGATCGAACTGTACTTAGTATAACATATCGCCACTCACTTCCTAGGAGGTGAACGCAAGAAATAGGAATGACATCTAAGCAATGCGTACCTCAGTCCCACTCATCTGAGGTCTACCCTGATTATCCCTCCTTTCTGAGCTACTTAAAGCACCTTACTTTACCCCACACCAAAACCATTGCCCCTTTCTTCTTCCACTCCCTGCCCCCAACCAATTTAAACTCTCAGAATCTCTTTCATCATCTACTTCTCACATCAGAAGTCCTCTTCCCATATAATCTCCTCCAGGAAGCCCTCCATGACTAAGGAAGGGTTCTTTATTTACCCTACTACCCCATATTCAAAGTCCTATTTCTATCCTACCTCCTTCAAGGAACTTTCCCTAATAGAAGAGTCATTTATACACTGAGCACTCTAGCAACACTGCTCAGAACAGACCAAAAAGCAGTTTCCCTCTTCTACCAGGTGTAAGGCCCACCTTGGCTCTTTTTGATGGAGGAGACGGTCACTCCAGTAATTCCCTCCTTTGAGAGCCGCTTGTTGATCTCTGACACCTGGGCATTGTATGGGCTGAGGATCGCAATGTCTTTGGGTTTTATGGTCCTATCCAAGGTCAGTTGCTTTGCTATTCGAACCTGTAGACACAGGAACCACAGGAAAGTTTAGAGTGCAACATGAGGGTAATTCTGTTCTAGGCAGCAATCCGTCTTAGTGAATTTGTCAATCTATTGTGCCAAAAAAAGGCTCTTATTTGTCTTATTCAGGTTACTAGGTAAGATCATGCCTGAATCATTTTTTAAAAATAATATTTTATTTTTCCCCAATTACATGTAATAATTTTTAATGTTTTTTTTTTAATTTGGAGTTTCAAATTCTATCCCTCCCTCCTTCCCTCCCTGAGATGATAAACAATCTTATATAGGTTGTATATAAGCAGTCATGTAAAACATTTCCATATTAGTCATTTTGTGGAAGAAAGAAAGAAAGAAAGAAAGAAAGAAAGAAAGAAAGAAAGAAAG